TGAGTTTTGAAAACTTCGTCAGCAGTGCATGCTAACACATAATTCTGCTCCACAAAGTGAGTACCATTTTTGTTCGTCGCTACGACTTTATATACTCCTTGATCTTGTAGTGTTGGGTTCTGAAACAAATTAAGTAAGATCGTCATATAGTTATAACATCTGCTTTATTTTTTCAGCGCATAAAATTGTAGATTTTTCGATAAATCTGGTACCGCCATCGCGGAATTGCTGCGAAAAGCAAGCAAAAATTGATAAAGTGTTAGGCGCATATGGCAGCAGTATGCAACTGGTATATGGACAGACATAATTGCTCCAGCTACCATGTGAAGCATAGAAGCCAACAGTGTGTAATGGGTAACAGATCGCAACTCAAAAAGTCTGAAGATAGTAAAATGGATGATCTGATTTCATCCCGGTCTATAATTATTTTCCAGAAGTACTCCGCTCACGACAGTTGTTGCTAACTTGACATTGATGAAGTGATGAAAGGGGGAGAAGGGTGAACGTTTAAAACTCCTTGTTGGTGCTGAACGTTGGGAGCCCATAAAAAATAATTTCAGAATTTTTACGAAGTATTTGAATAGGTCTTGTGTGTCTCTTGTAATAGCTATAATTTTCCGCTCTTTTGTGGCAGCATTTCGCTTTCTCAAACATGAAGGAAGGAAAAACACCGACAGCAGTTTACATTCCTTCAATAAAAATTCTACTGTGCTTACTTTCATGGTCAGCGTGCATGCCCATTTACCGACCATTTTCTTCACTTTTGTTGCATACCGCTCACCAGCCAATTCTTTATCCTGTAAGTCTGTTAAGTATTAAGCTCTTAAGGAGACTAAAAAGCATCAGTTGTCCTTATACAACTTGATCTCTTTCAGAAACGATTTCGAGATCTCCTGTTTTCCTCAAATGCAGTTAAAAAAGGTCAAAATTTGTCGGGACAACAAAAAAAGACCTAGTTTTAGGCGAAGCGTACTTTATGCTAGGAGACATCATTTCTAGTCTGTGCGTAGTGCAGTACATGATGGGGACAGTGCAGAGGACAAAAAATTGGGTTAAAGAGCCTGTGTTTAGGCCCTGAATTGTGAGATAAAACAGCACAGAGAATGGGAAAGAGACTGTTTTATCAAGCACAGTAGTGTGGTCGAGTAACTACAGTTTCAAATGGCTATTTCTGAATTATGAATAAACCGAACCTCCTGAACAGTAAAATGCAAGTTTTTACCGATAAATTTTCAAAGCTTTACCTATCAGCAGAAAACAAATGCATTCAAAAGAGAAGAGGCAGGGCGCTTGTGAAAGTAACAAAATATCGCTGGATTACCTTGAAGAACCACTTCACTGTTGGCTCTGGATTTGCGTTACACATGCATTCGAACAGTACCGTCCCATCCGGTTTATTTATTATCGAAGGCGCTTTGTCAAAAAACGGCGGCAGGCTCATTTCTCTTCACCGAAAAAAAACATCCTAATTTCACTTGTATGACTCGTGGTTGTTTTGGAAAATAGGTCTTCGAAGACCATCCAGTTTGGGTATTTATTTTTCAAGACTCTTATTAACGCTGCTCACTGACGTGCACTGAACTCTGGTGGTAGCAAAAAGGCGTCATCTGGAATTCGCTCTCTGTACTCAAACTGTGTCTGAGTTGACGGTTAACATAGCAGAGGAAAAGAAAAAACATGCAGTGCTCTGCCGCCGACGATTTTAAAATACATATTTTATACGATTTTATTTCAACACAAATAAAACTTGTGATCGAGCAGAAGTTGAGGAAGCATTTATTCTATTGTCATGCCAAACGCTTAAAAGCTTGCTGGAAAGAAATGTCATCAACGATAACTAAGAACGTCAAAGGGCAGACAATTCATGAAATTCCAATTTTTAAATAAATAAAAAAACGAAATGCATAAAACAAAAAACACACTGTGCAAAAGCGCGTCTTTGGCGTGAGGCAAGTTTAGGATAATAGAGACTGCAGATCCTTTGCAAACAGACTCTCTCCATCGGATATATTGGTCAGGCAATAAAACCGCAAGAAACCGCAATTAGATTTTGCTCCCTACAGAGAGGTGTGGAAGTTATTTTGTTGCAAAAAAACTGTTGCAAAAAAACTCAGTGGGCTATTATTGCGTAACAAGAACAGGTGGTGTAGTGGGTAGCACGCTGCGCCCAGATGTCAAGACGAGTGATTCGATTTCATCGGGTACATGCTCAGCTTCAAAAGAGAGCTCTGCTGATGATAGCAGTTGCGTTTAGCTTTGGCAGAAGCATCAATATGCAAAAGGACAGAAAGGGACAGCTTGGCGATGAGTATGTTACAACAGATCCTCACGGAGTGTTTTCAGCAGGCAATAATATACACACTGCTGAAAATGCTCTCGATCCCCTGAAGCGAGTCAGCTTTTCAATTCTTCGCTGCTCTCGAACTGGGTTGGAAACCGATCTACAGCAGTATCTACTCCTGTCAATGCATTAAATAGGCTGCACTAAATTAGACTGTAAATGCACAAGTTTTGACCGAAGAGGACAGAATTTAATTGCGACGGAATCATAACTAGAAAAAATTGGCCAACGCACGGGCTACCCGTGCGAAGATGCGTTTTTTGCATGGTTCTCCGCAGTTTTTGTTGCTACCGGCAACGGTTTTTT